TCGAGCACCGTAACGCTCCTGTTGACCTTAACAGAGTGATTCTTTCACCTCAAAACTTTGTTTTTCTTTTAGACGGAAGGAAGGCTCCTGTAAGGCCTCACATCTGCTCAGAAAGCCCTTTTATTTTTTGCTTGCTTTACAAAGTAGACCTCTATGGAGGCTTGTTTCCAACACTGGATGAAAAATAAATAAAATGGGTAATCGTGACTATTTCACAATTCTAACATTTTATTTCACAATTGTGAATATGTCTGAGAATTGTGCAATTCTGAGAAGAAACGTTAGAATCGTGAGATAAAACGTTGACATTACCTTCTTTAACATATTTTTTATTCTGTGGTGGAAACAAAAATAAAAAAACAGATAAAACATAATCGCAATATGTAAACTTAGAATTTGGAGAGAAAAAAATCAGAGTTGTGATAAATGAACTCAGAACTGTTTATATCTCGCAATTGTTTTTCCTCACCATAGAATAAAAGTCAGAATTGCATGTTTATATCTCTCAATTCTGAGTTTATATTCTGCAATTCTGTTGGGTTTATTTTCACCACAAAAAAAAAAAAAGAGAAAATTGCACGGTTATATCTCTCACTTCTGATTTCTGAATTGCAAGAATAACAGTCAGAATTGTGAGATAAGGTCTCAATCACTTTTCTATAATTTTCTCCCATGGTGTAAACAAGCTTCTGTAGACGTCAGTACGTCTGCTGGTTGATCAGATATGCAGTTTGTGCGGTCTGAACACAGTCTGACGCTGCGCTCGTCTCATTAGCAGCCCGTAGGCCTGTGTGCAGCTGTCATTGCTCATTAAAGCTCTCGCCGCGAGAAAGACTTCGCTTCGCTGCACGATTGATCCTCCCCTTGTATAATGTAAACCTCTGTGCTACTCAACTCAATGAGCGCCAGACATGATATTTGCTTTCTGCTGCCCTTCAGTTTTCCTCCATAGCGACACACTCAGCACTCCAGCAGTGGCCATGGCTTTTATCAGTTTCCTCAGCAGCAGTCATTTGTTTGGTCTGGGCTGAATGTCTGAGGTAGGCTTCAGATCATATAAACTGTAATGTCAAGTGGTGTAACTCAAAACTCAAAAACGTAATGATATATAATGATATAGAATTTATAATGATATTTGAAAAAAAAACACATTTTATCTTGAAAATGATATTTAAACCTGTTTTGAAAATATTGATTAAGATGTGTTCATGCATGTTCAAGGTGTAAGGAAAATAAACGAAAGAGTCAATAAACTGAATTTTTTCTTAATGCTATAAAAGTTTTTGAAACCATACAAAACCAACATAACCCAATGAGTCAACTAAACTGCAATCTAAATTTTAGGAACAACACAACAGAAATTCTGTTTTCACACAAGACTATATTGTCGTAATGGATATTGCTGTCATAATGTGGTGAAGCGGTATGATATTCATTGACCATTTGCTAGAATCTCATCATATAACCAGTCTTATTCTGGTTAACCAGCGTTTCAGAAAATAATGGCACAGCTTCCAGAACAGCCGCTGAATCAGATCCCTCTAATAAGAGCTCTGCTGGTGTCTTTCCCCTGTGATTGTTGAAGGGCACAGACGGTCTGTGAAGGATTCAAGTGGTTTTATCCCATGCTGGAGCAGGGAGTGGATAGAAGTGACAGTCCTCAGTGTTTGGGAAAGTTACTTTTAAAAGTAATGCATTACAATATTGTGTAATTGCGATGGTTTTTATGGAAAGTAGTGCATAACGTTACTTATGCGTACATTTTTTTGTCTTCTGGGCTGGGCTGGACTGGCTTATTTGTTTTTTAATAACACCCAGAAGTTATGTTTTTGGCAAATGTAGAGGCCCTTCCACACCAGACGTGAAATGAATAAGCCTCTGCACTCACTCCTGATTTCTCTCAACACAGAGACAGGAGAGATCTCAGTGAATAAATGGGAAAACAAAGTAACTTGCATTATTTATTTTAAAGAGTCTCTCAGATATTTTGTTGCAAATTTAAAAGTAATGCATTACTTTACTAGTTACTTGAAAAGTAATCTGATTACATATCTTGCATATGCTTGTACTGTGTTACAACACCGGCGGTCCTTTAAAAATCCTTTTCTGTCCTGGTTTCTGTACTGAAAAAGTCAAACGTGCATCTGCTTTTTCTCTACTGTGAAACCCATAAGTCATTCAACAACGCTATTTTATGGCCTAACAGAGTCGAACAGGATTGGCTGCCCCAGTCGACGGTCAGTAAAGTGATATATATTATCAGTTGTGTTTCTAGCAGCATGTGCTGCAGGACTGGTTAGCGGCCGGTTAGCGTAGGGTTTATCCGCTCCAGTTGTGTCTGTAGGCGCTCTAACCGAGGCTTTGAACTTTGATGGGATCCTCATGGGTGTCTTTGGAAGCGGTTCAGGGTCCAGGGTCTCAGGGCCACCTCGTGCTCTCGTCTGCTTCTCATTGCTGTTTGATCACCTTCGTCAAAGGGCCTCCCTTTCAAGTGCTCTTCAGCTCGTGCCAGAGATCCCGGCGTCTCTGGACATCAAACACCCTTTGCACGAGGGTCCGGGGCAGCTTTACCCGTTCTCCCTCACTCCCCGGGGAGCCTGGGCAGCGGTCGGGTGAGTACACAGTGCTGCTGGGCGGCTGGATGGGTCGGTCTGGAGGCTGAAGTGGATGTTCAGGAACGTTGAAGAAGGGAGAGACGAATTAAAATTAATTTTTAGGGGCCTCAAAGTCAAAGCCTGGTTTTATAATGAAGAAAAAACCTTATGCATGATCTTTTATTATTGGTATTATTTTTATCATTATCATTATTATTTATAATAATTCATAAGCAGTAAAGCTGGGTGAGCACTGAAGATAGCAATGTGCTGAAATGTCTGCTTGTGCTTGTCTAGCGTTTAAATAACCTGCATCTTGCACTCTTTTGCACTATGCAGTTTATATAATAAAACATGTATTTATTTATTTTTTGCTAGACTCTTTTAGTCTGGGTTGAATTCAGTGTGCGGTCTGCAATGCTTTTTTTTTCATTTGTAGTAAAGCTTTACATTTTTATTAAAATGATTTGTTAATAATAATAATAAATAAATTATATAATATATATTTTATTATTATATATAATAATAAAATATATTGAAATTATTTGTTAATAATAGTAATAATAATATATTTTTATTATTATTATTAAGAGATAAATATTAGATAATTTTATCTTTTTATGATAAGGCGGTGTTAGTTCAGGTTGTAAAAATTCATGAGGTAAAAAAAAAAAAGGATATTGTCCAATTAATAAAGATTTTTGTAAAAAAAAAATTTTCTTCTTTAAAATATATCCCTCCCAACACAATCCATTACCATTTTCAACCTCAGCAGATTCAAAAGCTCCATCGTCATCCATGTTGGAATAACAGAAGTGTAAATGTTCCTGTCTAATGGACTTTCAAGCGCGTAAAACAGCTTTTAAATGAACCTTTGCACTGCTTTGGTTTTATAGCAGCACACGTAGCTCTGTTCGGCTGTGGCTAGCTTTAGCAGGCCTTGCTTTTACTCACACTGTGAGCGTATGTTTATCACCGCTTTAAAACTTCGTCACGAATGCTGCTTTCATTTAGTGGCTTTACTTCAGAGACAATGGAGGTCAATTCCTCAACCTCAGAACAACAACAGCGGCACAAGCGCCAGATTTACTGCACATCCAACACATTAAAAACCAGCGGCGTCGTCTCGATAAACTAGCACTTCACCGCCGGGATGACAGGAAAGACTGGTGTGTCTCACTTCAGCCGCGTCTGCTCATTTAAAAACCAGACGCTCTGAGACAGAAAGATCATCCAGAAACCTCCTCAAACTCACTACAGCCAGCGAAGAAGAGCACTTAGCAGTGCACACGTCTGAGTCACGAGCGCTGAGATGCAGAAGAAACAGATCAGATCACGCTGATGAAAGGAACGGGTCTGGATGAGACGCAAATGGAGGACGGCTGAGATGAAAGCACTTCATTTTGATAATGACGACTTTTTCCGGAGGAGCATAAACAGATGAGAATATGTTCTTCTAAGGTTTTCAAAGCCTTGTGATGATTACCAGCAAACAGTCGCTGAAGCACAGGAGCTTCTCCCTCGCTCTCAGAAAGCTTGAAGTCACAGTTCTGTCGTCTCCTCTCAATCTGCTCACATTCTCACATGCGTTCAGTTCATAGCTGGCTGTGGGGTTTTGCTGCTTGATATCTCTCAGACTCCTCTGTCTGGTGCTCAAAAACAAGAGGGCAGCATTAATATAGCTTTGCAGTGGTTTGTCACAAAAAAAGGCGTTTTCTAGCAACCAAATGTAAGTCTCTTCTGCTCATCAAGACTGCATTTATTTGAGCAAAATTACAAACAGCTGTTTTCTATGTGAATCTCTGTTAAACTGTAGTGTGTTTCTGTGATCAGAGCTGTATTTTCAGCATCATTACTCCAGTCTTCAGTGTCACATTCAAAGCAGCCAAAGTTCCCAGACCTTCTGCTGTCAGTCTGAAGCTCTGTCCATGCCAGACTAGGACGCTTCTTACATAAACCATCAGAAAACCATCAGAAAACCATCAGAAAAGGTCCTGGTGATTTCTGCCAGAACATTATCCGTTTCCTGCTACATTAAAACAGAAAACAGTGGGTAAAACACCTGTGAAAATCTTCATATGAAGACGATATATTGTAGTGTGTTTTTACACTTTTCTTGGAGTGTAGCATTAATGTTGATTAAAACTCCCTCAGTGTTTTTGTATTAAATGTAAGCACTAATGAGCGGTGCGCTGACCCTCACATGCACCAGAGCTTCAGGAAGGCCATATATAGAAATCCTATGATGATTAACTGCCAACTGCCCATTTCAAGATGCTTAGTCTCACTATTTATGGCCGAACACAAAGTGCCGGCGAGCGCATTCTCCGTCAGTGGGACTTACAGTGAAATATGGAGGGAGTAGCCTGGATCAGAAGGACTGAACTCTCTCTCTCTGTTTTCTAGATCCGTCCTGCTGCCATCATGCTGCAGAGCTCTTTCCTCAGTGTAGAGGAGCCTGTGAACAGGTAACAGCATTCACACACAAACACACACACACACACACACACACACTGACACTGAGGAACACAGCTTGTTCTCGAATTAAAGCATTAGAATCTCTGCACTGTTTGAGAATCTCTGAGCTGATTGCAGGATTGACGATCAATAAAACATTGTCATTTAATCCGATACTCTATCAAAACTGTTTCGTTTCAGTGTTTGTTTCCAAAGACTTTTAGTTTGTATTTCCCTGTTTTGCTGAGTTGTACTTCCTGTTCCCTTTATTCTAGTCACTAGTTTGTTTTCATAGTAACTAATTATGTTGTTCACTTGTTTAGTTCTCATTAGTCTGTGTATGTATCAGAACTAAACGAGACACGGGTGAACAACACGATCAGTTAAAGGGGTCATATGATGCGATTTCAATTGTTCCTTTCTCTTTGGAGTGTTACAAGCTCTTGGTGCATAAAGAAGATCTGTAAAGTTGCAAAGACTAAAGTCTCAAATCCAAAGAGATATTCTTTATAAAAGTTAAGAGTTAACCACAGAGTTTTGGGCAGTGTAGAGTAGCGCTTGTTGTTTGTCGTTTCTCCGATCACAAATGCAGACATGGTTTATGTTTACGTGGCGCGATGCAACACAACGCATAAAAAGAGAGTATAAGTCATTATAATCCATAATTATGTCCCCACTGGTTGCAACGAATGCCTCGTTTATAATGGGTTTTAATGTTTTTGAATCGTCGATCCGGCCGGACAGGGCATCACAGTATGGTGAGGGGCGTAACATTTCCGACGCACGCTTGAGGTATTCGGCCAATCACAACGCACTGGATAGCTGGCCAATCAGAGCACACCTCGCTTTTTCAGACCGATGAGCTTTGTAAAAATCGACGTGTTTCAGAAAGGCGGGGCATAGAGGAGAAACAATAATTATTAATAATTATTCTTAAATGAATGTGTTACCAGCTCTAGATAATGACATGGAAAAGATCTAAAATGAATAAATTAGTATACTATTATTCATCTGTCCATCGGTTTTCCCAGGTTTGGAATTTATGGCTTTTAGAGATATTCAAAGTTTTTTATTTTTTTAAACATCTGTGTATATATATATATATATTTATATGGATCCCTTACAAAAGCTTTGGCGCTGATGTGATACAGTGATGATATCAGATGGTAATACCATGATACTGAGCAATATTATTCATATAACATTGTATGACAAGGTCAAGGTCAAAAAACATGGTATAACTGTATTATTCTTTGAAATTGAAAGAAGAGCCGTATATTTTGGCAGCATTGCAGACTACAAAACCAGCATGAATCAGTGAGCTGAGAAACAGATCTGCTCAGGAGAGTGTTTTCCTCCGTCCTTTGAAGCTGAGAGATGAACAAGAGCAGATGAGAGTCTCCATCTCTGCTCTGTGTTCGTGCGGAGCAGGTGAAGGCCTGCGTCCCATCATTAGAGAATGCGATTAGGCCGAGGCGACTTTCACAGATTCACGTGTGTCTTTCGAGCTCTGGAACTCCAAGCACATGAAAAACTCCCTGAATGGCCTCTTTATGAAGTTCAGACGGGTCAGTTAGTAGCGGTGCGTTAACCCGCTGACCCGCACAGAAACACTGTCCCATTCAGTACAGTGAGAGTCTGAGTGAAGCCTGCTGTTTGCATCTGCCAGTCACCGAATGATCGGAAACACAGAAAACAGCATTAGAGACGGCGTGAGAGAGACAGAAAACCCATCAGATGGAGACGGATCTATAAAACAGGAGAGAATAATGGCGGCTTGTTTGTCACGGCGTAATCGCCCGTTTCATCCTAATGGACGGCTGAGGCTTTGAAGAGACGAGGCCTTCAGCCCTTTGAGGAGGGGCTGCGCTGCTTTAGAAGATCCCGCCGGCACCGCCACTGATTGAGCCCTCCAAACAAAAAACTGAAGAAAGAAACGAGGAGCACTTTCCAGACGGACTGGAGGCTTCATTGCTCTGGTCCTGTGGGCGGAGCCGCAGCTCTCCTTTGATCGCTGGTCTTCCTGCTGCTGAGCGACGCACAGCTGATTATAATGCTGCACACATTCAGAACTTCACTTCATGTGGCTCACTCATCTCCGCTGATAGACGGAAGCGCAATCAAAACCCTTTCAGCTACTGATTTAGCTATGCTTATTTTTCTTATAAATGTTATATTTGTGTAGGGCTGTCAATCAGTTAAAAATCATATTTGAATTGAATTATAATTTTATTTAAAATTATTTATATATATATATATATATATAAAAAAAAAAATATATATATGTTTATATAATCTAAATTATATCAATATTTTTGGTTTTGTGGCAGATGAGTAAAGTATTGAATATTACAAAAAAAAAAATGGTGAAAACTGGAAATTTCCTTTTTATGGAATTTATGCATTTAGCAGACGCTTTTATCCAAAGCGACTTACAGTGCATTCAGGCTATACATTTTTTTACCAATATGAATATATTAATATATTAATATATATAATCTATTTATCATATTGTTTAAATTATACATATGTTTATTTATAATATTATGCTTCTATAATTTAAATTCTTTTTTTTTTTAACTTTTTTGTGGCAGATGAGTAAAGAGTGTTACAAAATGAATAGCACAATATTACAAAAAATGTGGTGAAAATTGGGAAAACCGATATCAAAATCATGTGATTGGTTGATGCTGGCTGAGCCCCGCCTCCAAGTCCTCTGACTGGCTGTCACACGTGAGCCTGACGCTGTCATGGAGTGTTAATTCAGTGATATCTCTCAGATAGCAAGGACATTTTATATGATATATTCCAAATATCACTTACATCCGTCTCTGACAAAAAGTCTCTGAAAAGTAGGAAAAATGAGAATCAAAAGCGCATTTTGTGCATTTTTTTTTGGAGTTCTCTCCATTTCTTCGTAACGAGTCAGATGTGTTTTTTTTTTTGTAGGAAGAAATTATTTGAAACATCTGCCAGCAAATTCATATTTTCCCATTTTCTGTCCCCGTTTGTCGCTAATTATCCTTCATCACAGAGGGATTCTTTGCAGAAACGCTGGCCAAGCCGCCTGAAAACCACCACGGCCTCGTTCAGATGCTGCGGTTGTGTAAAATGATGAAGATCTATAATTCACTGGAACTGAGTTTGGCTTCTGTCCTCCAAACTGCTCGCTGGCAGACGCTCTGCATTAATGAACAGATCGTTCCTGATCGCGCTCCCAGAGACAGAGTCCAGCCGCTGATTTGTTTCCGGCAGACAGAAGTTCACAGAGCCTCTGTACATCGAGATCCAGAGCGTTTGGGCCGAGGTTGAGAAATACAAACACAGCACCACTGAGTGCTTCACATGTGCCAGGAACTGGAAAACTCATTTTTGTGGAATTTTTGTATGCATTAAGGGGGATAATTATTAGGTTATATATATATATATATATAACTTTAGAACTTTAGTAACGAAGGAACTTTGAGTTGCTTCATTGAAAGCTTATTGTATCACTGTATTAAAAGCTCTCTGTATGATGAGAGAGATGGACTGAGAGTGTGATTCCCTGCATCTGATACAGCATTCATTCTTCAGCTCAATCTCATATTCACAATAAAACATTAGTCTGAATGTCCGCAGAGGAAAGCGATATCTGTGTCGTACTATCTTTCATCTGTTAAAGGCATAGTTCAGTCAATAATGAACATGACCCCATGATTTACTCAGCCTCGAGTCATCCTAGGTGTGTATGACCTTCTTCTTTCAGACGAATCCAATCGGAGTTACATTAAAAAATGTCCTGGCTCTTCCAAGCTTTATAATAGCAGTGAATGGGTGTTGAGATTTTGAAACCCAAAAAAGTGCATCCATCCATGATTAAAAGGCTCCGGGGGTTAATAAAGGCCTCCTGTATGTATGTATGTATAATCACATTAAATTAACAGGTTAATTAGACAGCCCTATTGTTTTTTATTAATTCCTAAATAATAATAGGCTTTATTTACGGTTATTACAACATCCATTCATGACTGTATGGAAATTAGTATAGAAAATCATAGATACATGAATTCATGTTTCCGTGTATCATTTTTTTTGCACACACAGCAGATGGAATTGCAATGCTAATGATTGTTTCCAAATGTTTTTCTAAATTCATTCATGATATTCTACTTAACTAAACAAATGAACTGCAATGAATCACGCCCAAACGAAGATCGTTCAGACGAAGGCCGCTGCTTTCAGGAAGTCACATGATGCTGTTGATCTAAAACATTCAAAGCATTTGGCTGTGCATTTATTGAATGTTTCTCTCTGCAGCTCGCGACCATCAGGAGTGAATCGCGTCTGAAGCACCTTCTCCTGCGTTTGCCCAGTTACTGCCCCGAGTCTCTGGTAAGATCTGTGTTTACATTACAGCTGTCGCCCCGGCAACACAGGAAGTCTTAAACCGAGAGAGCGCTGCTGCTTCCTGTTCCTCCCTCGTGGTTATGGTGCTGCTTGGCAGTAATGAAGCCGAGATGAAGGCTGATGGATGCCCTCCACCCTCTTTCCCTGAGTTTCAAAGCTGGATTGCCAGCGCCAGCAATATGCAATTACACTCAGCCTCTAATTAGCCATAGTGGAAGCCTCAGGCCTGTTTCAGTTGGACGTGTGTGTCCTGCGCTAATTCACCGAAAATGGATGCAAATGGAATTTGGAAGCATTAGAAATGTGTTTGAAAGCATTTCAGAGTCCAAATCAAGCCTGTTTTTTGAGTCTGATGCATCAAAACCACATTGTTTTTTGTGCTCCTCACAAATGATGCTGAATGGTTTTGACGAGCTTGTTTTTCATACGCCAGAGAGCATTGACGTCGAATCTCAGACATTGTCCTGTTTATTCAGCTCATTGTCTTGTCAAAGCGCAGGCCGTGTGGATAAGGAGCGGCCGTGACCCTGATCCAACAGCGTCCCACCGCAGATGTTTATGCATTCTGTGGCTCTCATCTGCATCTACTTTTAATTAAAGTTGAGTCATATTAGGAGGCTCTCTGGAGCCGCAGTGCAGGGAAGAAGAGCTTCCCTGATGAAGCCATCTTTGTACACGGGTCCTGTCCTTTAACTGCTTAAAGAAGAGTGGTTTTGTCTTTCAGTTTGCCATCCATTATATTACATTTGAAATGCTTCACATATTGCATTGTGTGTTTTGTGTTGCACAAAATATAAACCATGACACCAGATTCTCTAAATATTTACATTACTGTTGAAAGGTTTGGGGTCAGAGAGATTTTTCAAAAGAAATTAATACTTTTATTCATCAAGGATGCATTAAATTGATCAAAAGTGACAGTAAAGGCATTCATAATGTTACAAAAGATTTCTGTTTCAAATAAATGCTGTAATGATGCTGAAAATACAGCTGCGCATCACAGAAATACATTACAGTTTAACAGAGATTCACATAGAACACAGCTGTTTTACACTGTAATAATATTTCACTGTTTTTACTGTATAAATGCAGAGACTTCTTTCAGAAACATTAAACAGATCTTACCAACCACAACATTTTGAATGGTAGTGTGCATTTTTCTCATTTAAAACGTTTTTGCTAAATTTTCACACATCATAATTAATAATAATAACTGCATAACAACTTTAGTAAAAAGTGCTCAATGCACAAATTTAAAAACTGTGCAGAATCATACTTTTAAAAAAAATGTGTTTAATGTATAAATATTCAAAAGTAATTTTATTTGATAAAACAATAAATGTTTTTTATTTCTAGGTTTATGTTACATTTGGAGTCTCACATTTTAAATCTGTTCTTCTGAACATGAACATTATATTATCATCAACTCCCTCGTGTTGCCTGAAGTGAGATTTTCAGTAAATAATGACCTGCTACATAACTTAATAACTTATTCTGCTCTTCAAAGAAGAATCCTCAGGTTTGGAAGTTTTACACTGTAATAATATTTCACTGTTTTTACTGTATAAATGCAGAGACTTCTTTCAGAAACATTAAACAGATCTTACCAACCACAACATTTTGAATGGTAGTGTGCATTTTTCTCATTTAAAACGTTTTTGCTAAATTTTCACACATCATAATTAATAATAATAACTGCATAACAACTTTAGTAAAAAGTGCTCAATGCACAAATTTAAAAACAGTGCAGAATCATACTTTTTTTAAAAATGTGTTTAATGTATAAATATTCAAAAGTAATTTTATTTGATAAAACAATAAATGTTTTTTATTTCTAGGTTTATGTTACATTTGGAGTCTCACATTTTAAATCTGTTCTTCTGAACCTGAACATTATATTATCATCAACTCCCTCATGTTGCCTGAAGTGAGATTTTCAGTAAATAATGACCTGCTACATAACTTCTTCTGCTCTTCAAAGAAGAATCCTCAGGTTTGGAAGCACATGAGAGCGAGTAGATGATGTGTTCTGAGTTGTTGTCGTGCTAAACATCTCCTTTTCGCTTCGCAGAGTGAACTTTGGATCTGCATCAACAACACATTGCCGGGTACGTGAACACAGATGGAGACGTTGAGAGCCGTCTGCAGAACACACCTGTACCAGCCTTAAAAGAACAAGAGAGGATTTAGAGTCTCTGAAGACATAATGCCTCCCAGATGCACAGATATCACACTTCACATCAGTCAAGCTACACCTTGCATGGCCATTAAAACCCCGTCCAGAGCGTTGAGCTGCAGCTCATAAAGAACCCAAGCCAAACTCTCCACATTCAAAGCACGTCTGCATGCAATATGAATGCCGTGTTGTTTTGAGACTCATCAGTGTGTCATGTATGCTTCTGCATTAGATCCACTGTAAAGCTCACTGTGATTCTGAACATTTCCAGGAGCATCAAAGAAGTCTGACGGATGGGTGGGTTTGGGCTGCTGTGAGCTGGCCATCTCCGCTGAATGCCGCAGGGACTGCAAACAGGTCAGTAAACAGATCTTATATAATCTATATAAACATGTAGAGAAGTCTGTAAGCTCATCGGCTCACCTGTGGTTCTTAGATGCGTGTTTTTCTGCTTTCTGTTCAGGCGTCGTCTAAAAATGACATCGCTAAAGTATGCAAGAAAGACACAGAGGTGGGAGTTTACCTTTATTTTACTTCATAGAGTTTACAAATGTCGAAGCCTGTTTCCACTTCAAGAGTAAAAATAAGTCATTGTGGTAATTACGAGAAAGTTTGAAATAAATGTGACACTTTTTTTTTTTGTGAAATAGAGAGTCACAACTGTGAGAAATTCAGAATGCGGATTGTGAGAGATATTTGCAATTATGAAGAAAAGTCACAGATGTGAGATTGTCACAGGTGCTTTTATTTTCGTTCTTCGAGGTAGAAGCAGGCTTTCATAAAGTTCAGATTAAGAACATGTTTGTTCCGATAATACTTCGCCACGTAACTTGTCCGGTGTGAATAACCTGTTTCTTTAACCCTCCTGTTGTGTTCCGGTCATTTTTTAGACTTTTCTCCCCCATCCTGTTATACTTGTGGTGTTTTTGGTTCACATTATGCTGCATTCTTACCACTTATTAATTGTAGGAATTATTGATCTGAGCTTATGCACCTCAAAAAGTGAAACAAACTAACATTATTTTGCCGATGTTTGAGGTTTAAGCTCAGATCAATGAGGCCTGCAATCAATCAGTTCCTAAAGGAACACGAAACCTGGGCCAAATGAAAGAAAACAAGTTGATAAAAAGATTGAATCCAAGATTTGGTGATATTATAGCATAACAAGAAATTTGTCATTTTTGACCAGGAACACCAAATTAGGGTTTAGTGATCATACTAGTGTTGTTAGTATTATTTGCAGTATTTATTATTATTTTTACATTTCTTTTATTTCTTTAATTAGTTTTTATCTAATTTACTTATTTATTAGTTTTTCATCTGATATTTATATTTGACTTTATTGCAGCTGTATGTCCATTTTTAATAGTTTTAGTTAACAATAATAAGACTGGATTAGACTGATGACCCGAGTCAATATCATACGGCTGGTGCTGAGTCAGTATGGAAAATATACTTCAGACACCTTAGCAACCACACAACAATTCCCTGACAACCGTCCTCAGCCCCGCAGTGTTGGGCCAGTGGCTTCAGAAACGCTGTGAATCCGGTTTAACACACAGTGACCTTCACAGAGACTCTCGCTCCGGTTGAGCTGTTGAGATGAAAGCAGGCAGACTCTGGGAGGTCTCGGTCCTTCATCAGAGTCCTGGACACTTCTCTGTTTGTTTGTCTAGCAGCTCTGCAGTCTGAAATGAGCCTCAAGCTTTATTTGTATTTATTCATTTAAAGCCTGGTTTCTAGCACAGGCCCAAACCTCTTTATGAGGTTGTTTCGTTAGTGTTGAGCAATGGAAAAATATAATTTCCCTCGAACTGGACATGCTGTCGCCACATTACAGCGCAATAAATCTGTAATTCTGCTGGCTGAGTGTTATAAAAGAGTAATGATCCCCGATAGAAATGCTGTAGCTCTGATGCTGTTCTCCATCGGTCAGACTGTAGTCCGTACGGCTCTTGAGATCCAGACAAACATGCAGACCATCGGCACAACGTTTGCTTTGGATCGCTCTCACAACAACTTCAGCTCTTTCATCGTGTGCCCTTGGTTTTCTTACGCATTCTTCAGCAGGTTTTAAAGATAAAATGTGCCTTAGTTTTATTAGCACACTACCATTCATGTACGGGGTCAGCAAGATTTATTCATGTTTCTGAAAGAAGTCTCTTCTGTTCACCGAGGCTGCATTTATTTGATCAAACACAGTAAAAATTATGAAATATTATTACAATGTAAAACAGCTGTTTTCTATATGAATATGTGTTAAACTGTAATTTATTGTAACTGTTAAACTGTAATTTATAATTATGATCAAAGCTGTATTTTCAGCATCATTACTCCAGTCTTCAGTGTCACATGATCTTCAGAAATCATTCTAATATGCTGATTTGCTGCTCAACAAACATTTCTGATTATTATCAATATTGAAAACAGTTGTGCTGCACAATATTTTTGTGGAAACTGTGATACATTTTATTTTTCATGATTCACAGATGAACAAAGTTCAGAAGAACAGCATTTATTTGAAATAGAAATCATCTGTCTTTACTTTGGACCAATATAATGTGTCCTTGCTGAATAAAAGTATTAATTTCTTTGAAACAAATACATTTGTTGAATGGTAGTGTAAGGTACGACCACAATGGCATTCACGACTGAAAACTTTTGCACGATTGTTGTATTGGAAACAAACAAAAAAAAAATGATATAAATGTGACCCTGGACCAAAAAAACTGTTATAAGTGTCTTTTTTTTTTTATTGAGATTTGAATAAATAATCTTTCCATTGATGTATGGTTTGTTAGGATTGGACAATATTTGGCTGAGATAGGGCTGGACGATATGGCCAAAATTTATATCACGATATATTTCTTAATTTCGGTC